TTATTATTATTAGTAGTAGTAGTAGTAGTAGTAGTAGTAGTAGTAGTAGTAGCAGTTGTAGCAGTAGCAGATGTTTTAGTAGTAGTGGCATATATTGTCTACAAAGGAATTTGTTAAACTTTAAATTCCCCACAGGTAGGCCTAGGAAACTTATTTCCTCTCGAAACGAGCGCAAAGGCAAGGTAGGAAAGTACAAGTTGACTCATCCGTATTTCTTCCACCCCTCTACAAAGACCAAACTGCACCGTATTTGTCCACATTGGACATAAATGGACAAATAATCATAAATATTACATTGACTAGGGTATAAATAGTTGTATGGTAACATAGTCTTTCAAAAAAGTGTGATAAGTACCATACGTGGTAAATTTTAGGTCCCTGAAACGTGGCTTGTCGATGTTAAAACCACTGAGGATTTGGTGAGAACCCAAGTTCCAAATCCACACTGATTCTCTATGGTTTAGATTTTCTTTTGTAGGGTTACGAACTATTTCAATGCCCTGAAGCTAAGGGTCGGGGGCTCCATTGTGACCAGGACTGTTGAAATGTTGGCCGACTGGTGTGCATGAGTTTTTCTGTACTGAACATCTATGGTTATTGAACCTAGCTCTTAGTGTGGTGGTAGTTTGACTTGCATATTGGGCTGGACAGACTTTACAAGAGATGAGAGGTAAATCACGTTTTTGGTTTCACAGGTGATGCTGTGGGAAAGTTTTCTTTTAAATTGGGGGCCTTCTACAAAGTTGGTCACTTTCATGTAAGCACATGTTTTGCATCTAGGTTTTTGACAAGGATAATTTTGAGGTGAGGTACATGGGCTTGTCGGAGGTGAGGATGTGGGCGTTACTGCTGTTGTGCGAATAAGGAGGTTGCCCAGATTAGGTGGCTGTCGTAGTGCGACCAGAGGGGGAACGGGTAAACATGCTTTCATTTTGTCTGATTTTTTCAAAATTTTTTTTATGTTGGCCGTGGATTTTGTGTACATTGGGTAATTTTTGGTGATGAGTTGTGACGAAAAGGGGTCTTTTTTTGTTTGGGCTTTAGGGTTTTGTACGTCAGAAGGTTGGTGTGGTTCAATTTGCTGACTTTCTCGATTATGGGAGTAATGGAATTATTGTGGTATCCACTGTGCAGAAGGTTGGCTGTGAAATCCTCTATTCGTTGTTAAAAAGAATTTTCACCGGAGCAAATGCGGCGGAGTCTAAGGGCACCACTATAGACCACAGAATAAAATATATGTTTGGGATGGTTTGAAGAAGGTGGGAGATAACGGTTGGAATCTGTAGGTTTTTTGTACAGGTCTGTTTCAATTTGGTTATTTATGATGAGGAGGGACAAGTGGATTTTTCTGGGGTGGAAAAAGTAAATTTGATGCTGTGGTGTGCCTTGTTGAGATCAGTGAGGAATTTATGAGTTGCTTCAGAGCAACCATTGTGCAGGGCGATAATGTCGTCCATGTAACGCATTAGCAGAAATGGTTTGTTGGGAAGGGGGTGAGACATATTTGCGCCAAAATTCAGCCATAAAAATGTTGGCATAGGAAGAGGCCACCGGCGTACCCATCGCCGTGCCGGTCAGTTGGAGAAAATTTTGGTTGTTAAAAGAAAAATTGTTGAGGGTGAGGACTAGTTTCAATAGTTTGCAAATTTCTAAAGTTTGACGTGTGTTGTAAGGTGCAAGGCTTCTGAGGGGTGCGCGGCAGGCATCATCATCATCATCATCATCATCATCATCATCATCATCATCATCATCATCATCATCATCATCATCATCATTATTATCATTATTGTTGGTCTTGCTACTGTTATACAGTAATAATAACGATGATAATAATGATAATTATGGTAGTAATAATGATGATGATGATAACAGTTCCTTCGTCAATGTCTGATGATGACCAATGCATCTACTGAGGAGAATATTTATCAAGCAATTACAAGAATCAATAAATGTGGTTTTTGCTGTGGCAGTATTTTATTAGTATGCGATCATTTGAATAATCTTTTGGTCATTTTTCCAGCTTGGGTTGTCTATTCTAACTCTCCTTATTCTATCCTTGGCGGAGTGGGGGGGGGGGGGGGGCGTGGGTTACCGCCAGAAATTTAGCGCCTTGAATTAATCAAGGCGCCGGGTCAATCAATGGTGCACATAGAGTAAGTGGGAGAATCTTGCAGTTTGTCAACATGGCATTTTCAGAAGACGAACTCTTTTTATTGGAAAGCATTTTGCCGAAACTTTTACTTACGCTCACAAGAAAAAAGAGAAGAATCGGTGAACATGGAATCAATAAAGAGAGGTCAACACAGGGTGAATACCATCATCTCTTTTGCCAATTGAAGGATCATCCTGATGGATTTCACAAGCTCACCAAAATGAGCCTTGCTACATTCTTTTACATTTTGAAAAAAAAAATTAGCCTAAGGCTAATCAAAACATGGTGTAACTGGTACGTGCCTATTTTATCTGAAGAAAGGCCAGTGATTGCCCTGAGGTGAGTAAGCAACTTGTTATTTTTACGAAAGCCGAAAATAAACAACACAATAAATACAGTAATATATAATGTAGAAATCGTTCCCAAGCATGTAGGCCACTAAACATAACACAGACCCGTACACTCCCTGATCAGGCGACTTCAACTCCAGAAAATAATTCAAATTCAATTCTTTAAAACCAGCGCGATTGTTCGAGTGAGGCGGGACAAGTGCGGCTAGAAAGTACGGGCGTTCTCTATGTGTACCACAAGAGAGTAAGTGACCAACTTTTCTAGTGGGTACGTCTAAAGGGAAAGCTTCAAGCGCTAGAAACCTAGCACCAGAAGTCTAGCTGGAAAAGTTGATCACTTTTTCTCTTGTGGTACATATAGAGAACGCCGGTACCTTCATAAAGTACCACTACGAATGGGCTCGGCAGATCGGCCGACTCGGTCGCCTAAAAAACAAACGGGTTTGTTTTGAGTTTCAGACGACCGAGTCCGGCGACCACCCTATACAGCCGTAGTGGGCATTAGTCGCCTCTTACGACACGCAGTATCACGGCAGGTGTATTCTTTGCTCCCTCATAGTAAAACTATTGCCCCCCCCCCCCCCCCCACCCAGCTGCAGGGGCGATAGGTAAACTATGCACGCCTCTCTCTCTCTCTCTCTCTCTCTCTCTCTCTCTCTCTCTCTCTCTCTCTCTCTCTCTCTCTCTCTCTCTCTCTTTATTTTTACTCGTACTAATAAAACATAATACTGAAGACAGTATTGAGCGTTTTTCTTTAAAACAATGCATTAGCCTACATGTATTGCGCTCTGGTAAGCCTACAGGCACGCGCAAGTTACACCATGTTTTGATTAGCCTTGGGCTAATTTTCTCCAAAATGTAATTGAATGTAGCAAGGCTCATTCTGGTGTACTAGAGAAATCTATCAAGATGATCCTTCAACTTGCTAAAGAGATGATGTTGTTCACCCAGTTGAGTGCTGACCTCTCTTTATTGATTCCATGTACACAGATTCTTCGTTTTTTCTTGTTAGTGTAAGTAACAATTTCGGAAAAATATGTGAGGCAGCGTGGTGGAATCAGGCTCTCGTCAAAATAATCAAAGTGAAGAAACTTGCATTTTTCTGGAGATTTGTAAATTTTTATCAAATTTTTGTTGTTTGGCTCCACACCTTTCATGCCCATTAAAGAACTCATTTCTGTGTGGATTTTTCATAAAAATGTTGATTAAAGGCACACAAATGTACATTTTGAGTTACCACGGACTCTTAAGCTAAGGAAATAACTAATCTGTGGCGGCCATTTTCTCACTAATTTTACCTCTGAAAACAGGTGATACCCACCTCCTTCATTCGCAAATATCTCGACTTGTATTTCAAATGAATGGATACTTTTTTTTCATCCAAATAAAAACAACTGAACAAGCTTTAAGATGAAAATTGACGAGAGCCTGATTCCTCCGCGCTGCCTCACATATTATCCTATAAAAAGAGTTAATCTTCTAAAGATACCTAGTCGACAAAGTGCTAGATTCTCCCTCTTTCTCTATGTGCACCACAAATTGACCCCGGCGCTTGAATTAATGGTGGCAGACTTCTGGCGCTAGCTTCCTTGCGCTTGAATCTTTCTCTATGGACAATTGGACATAGATCCATAAGGCCCGGTTACACGTAACACGTTGAAGTGTAACCGGGGCTTTAGAAACACGATTCATGAAACGGGGTGAGTAATTTTCGAGAGTCACGTGGAGTACCAAAAGACGTCCAGACAGCCGAGAGATGAAATCAACAAGCTTACACTGAAATGAGGGGACAGGGTGGTGTTGCTGTCTCAAAAGAAGCAATTTGTAGCAAGGTTAGCCTGGGCTAATGTAATTATTTATTTTAGTGATCCAAAGAGTGTTTTTTAATACAGTAACCAAAGAGAAAGACTTTTTTTATTATTGGGAGAAATTTTTTTACAAATATATTTTCGTTCGGTCTATTAAGGAAAACACTACAGAACTATACAAGGATTTTTAAAAAACCGTTTGAAGAAAACTTCACAAATACGGGGGTGGGAGAAGCAGAAGTGTGTAGGGATAAAAAATCTGAGTGAGCATGCTACTTGAGCAACAGAGGCCGGGGTCTCCTCACGTGAGCGCGGGAGGTGGCGGCGCATGCAACGCTCGGCTGGAGGTCTATTTAACGCTCACGGGCCCAGTGCCGCCCTTAACAGTGCTCACTCACAATTTGCAGGACTAGGGGCTGGGACTCTACCACAAGCGTAGGACAGAAGGGATTTTTTTTCATACGTGATCTAGCTTCCCAGTTTTAGAATCATTTCCATTGAGGAACGAATCATTTATCTTGTGGAACCAGGTCCGATTATATTATGTCAGCAGAAAATTCAAATTCATACGAAAACCTCAAAGAATTTGTGTCATTTTGAACCAGAACGGACTGACAACTTGAAATTCTGAATATTTTAAATTATTAGTTACGGCAAAAATAAATTATAGCGCAAAGAAGAAATACGGATTTTGCATGTCAGGACTTTTAAACCCATAACAGATGGTTATGCAAAGGAATTTTATTTCAATTTGAGCACCGCATGTGAGGAAGTTTCAAAACCTGTCAACTCAACATTTCGAAAAAAACAAATGACTTAAAAATCTTAGTACTGCGTGAAAGGAGAAAGTGAAATCATGGAGAAACCATTTTCCATATTGGGTGCTTATAAAGTGTTTTCGAGCAGAAACAGGCCCACTAAGGATAGTTGTTTCCGTTTTCCAAACTCAAATGTGTTGCGGATAGCTACTGTCTTTCTGATTTGTCTACTGGGTTCACAAGACTATGCAGTTTTATGCGAAGTTCAGGACTCGGCAGTCCGTGATTTGACTACATCTGTACACACTTTTACCAAAAGATCCAGTGGGCCTTTAGACTCCTTAGAAATATTGCACTTCGGGAACGACGGGAAGTTTGGAGAATTTTCTGTGAAAAGGTCGGATAACGTTGACCACGAAAACGAAATTGTTGTTGTGAATACAGAAGTGCCAGAGTTTTCGGAAGGTGTTGTTTCTAAAAGCGATGTTCTAGAAAAACTTGCAGACGACTTTCTTGAAGGGGAGGGGACAAATATTATTCCTGAAAATGAGAGGGATGAGGTAGACGAATTCCCTGATGATTCAGGAACAGAGGATTTGGACAAAAGGGCGGGATTTGCGCCTTGGGCGGGCAAAAGAGACGGAGACGGTGTCGTGGATAAAAGACCAGCATTTCATGCGTGGTCAGGGAAAAGAACACCACATAGCGCTGTAGATGCACAGAAAAGACCCGCGTTTCATGCATGGTCGGGCAAACGTTCAACGTACCCCTACAAAAACAATGAAAAACGACCCGCATTCCATGCGTGGTCGGGCAAAAGATCAGAAAAACGGCCTGCATTTAGCGCTTGGAATGGAAAAAGATCAGAAAAGCGACCTGCATTCCACTCCTGGAGTGGAAAGAGATCAGAAAAGCGACCTGCATTCCACTCCTGGAGTGGAAAGAGATCAGAAAAGCGACCTGCATTCCACTCCTGGAGTGGAAAGAGATCAGAAAAACGACCTGCATTCCACTCCTGGAGTGGAAAGAGATCAGAAAAACGACCTGCATTTCACGCCTGGAGTGGAAAGAGATCAGAAAAACGACCTGCATTTCACGCCTGGTCTGGTAAAAGGTCCGAAAAACAACCGGCTTTTCACGCGTGGAGTGGGAAAAGGTCTGATCTGGAAAATGCAAAGCTACTGTCTTTCGATTCTCTCCCTGGGAACCACTTGGAAGAAATCAAGAGTCCCGGCTTCTATCCCTGGGAAGGCAAGAAGCAGGAAAATTCAGAAGAAGAAGATAGCTTTGTAAAAAAGGCAAAATTCCATGCGTGGGGCGGTAGAAAGCGATCGGACGAAGATTTCCATTCTTCAGAAGACTCCAAAAGTAACTCGGATGATATTAGGGGTGAGGGGGGTGAAAATGAAGATTGGGTCACCGATTTTCTGTTTGAAAGTATTAATGATGGTGTTGGTGATTTAGGTTACGAAAATCTATCGTCTTTCCTTTTTCCCAGTGATGAGGGACAAGAAACTGGTTTTGAGAAGATTGCAAAACGACCGCGTTTTCATGCGTGGTCAGGCAAAAGATCTCTGGACTCGGAGAGAGAATTGAACCCATTACCTCAACCTGACGAAGTGGACAACTACCAAAGTGCTACTGTCAAGCGTCCTGCATTTTCTGCGTGGTCAGGAAAACGCACGAACTCCCCTCTTCTGTCACCTTCTCTTATGAGTGATGAACAGAGTGACAAACACACTGGTAACCTCTCATCTAACCCAGACTACGATTTAGAGTTGCAGCTCCAAGTTTTGGACGCATTAATCTCAGATCTCGAGAAAAGTGAAGATTTTGGGTCATATTTAGATGACAATAGTGGTCAACATCTCGGACTGCCTTTCGAAAGTCAAAGAAGTGAGGAAGGGAGAATGGAAAAGCGGCCAGCATTTCATGCGTGGAGCGGCAAGAGAAGTTCTAGTCAAGATGACACGTTAAGCTCTAATGAAGAAATGAACAGTGCGGTTGACAGTGACGTTCGGGAAACAATAAAACGTTCGCTTTCAGATTTTGGGGCCGATGTGGGACTAAAAAGAGGTGATCTGATGAGTTCTGATCTAAACGCAATATCGGAGAACATCGGTGGCTTGACATATGGAGGAAGGAGAATCCGTTCATTGCTCCCTTCTCGAGAGGGCCGCTTGAAATTACTTTTGGCTCTGAAAAATGCTTATAACCGACTAATCAACGGAAGAGATTTGCTCATCAAAACAATGCCCAAAGAAGAGAGATTGGAAGAAGAGATTGAGAAGATTGTGGAGCAGCCGAGACCGCCCACAGTAAGAGCTTATATTTCTCAGATCAAACGCCCAGCTTTCAACGCGTGGGGTGGCAGGAAGAGAACTTTGGATCGCTTTTCTCCAAGGCGCCGTCACAATAGTCAGTCAAAAAGGCCAGCGTTTTCGCCTTGGTCTGGAAAAAGGTCAAATGACATGAGTTCACCTCTGCCCATTCTGAAGCGAAGAAAAAGAGATACAAATCAAAATGCTTTAAACCTTAAACTGAGGGGGCAGAAATCAGATTCAGAAGCGGGTGAAATTCTACATATAGATAGCATAGGTAACCAAGAGGAACTTGACAGTTTGGAAAATAGAACTTTAAAGGACGCCAAAAGCATAACATTTCAGAATAATGTAGGAAGTTTTCCTCCATCGGCCACGGAAGATCGAAACAAAGAGACAGAAAAACAGAGCCCCCCTCGTGATAATAACGAGGCAGTCAAAGACAGACAAGTTCTCTATGACGAAGACCAGGATCTACTGCACGGCAGATTTCAACCAGCGGTATCTTCCCAAACTAGTATGAATAAAGATTTCTTTGACTTCTCAAAGCGACCCGCTTTCCATGCCTGGGGCGGGAAACGGACTCAGTTAGATGATCAAAATGAGTTGGAGATGGCGGAAGGGGAGATACACACTCTTCCATATTCAGACATTGTTACAAAAGAACTTAATTTGGACACGAATTATCCCTTGCGTGGTGGCACATATGACGAGATGTCTTTCGGGCCAGAAGTACAAGGAGGGAGAGAAGACCAGAGTCATTCCACAGAAGAGCAGCACAGAAGTGGTTCAAAGGGATCAGGTGACAGAATAGTTGTTTCTAAAGTAGACCAGAAAATGATCGACAACGCTGGACAAATAAAAAATATTGCTGGTGAAAGCCGAAAAATGTATCTCTCAGGGGGAGACGTCGATTCGGAGAAAGACGGAGGGGATAACAAGGGTGACGGGGAAACAAAAAACGGAGAACCAGTAGGAGTGTGGTCAGACCGAGAAGTTTCTGAAATGTTTAAGCAAAAAGATTCTCCTGCTGTGGAACAGGTTGTCCCGACCGAACGAGATCAATTTGACGAGTCTAGCTACGATTTACCTCACAACCCAACATTTAGACTGTTCTCTAAGGGTGGTGTTAAAGAGAACACCAACTCCCAGATATCCGATCATGAAATTCAAGTTTCAGATTCACTGAAAAAACGACCAGCCTTCCATGCATGGTCGGGCAAAAGATCTGGAATGGAGGAATCATTTGGCAAAGATTACGATCGATGGCCAAGCGGAATGAGAGAAGGGAGCAGTGTGGGGGGTTACGAAAACTTAATTCCTCTACCGGTATTCAACGACTTAGAAAGAAGGGAAGCGTATTTCAAAGAAGAGCTTCGAGACAATTTAAACCCTATTAATGAAGTGAAAAGACCAGCTTTTCACTCCTGGTCGGGAAAGAGGTCGAATAACAACAGAAAAATGCAGCTAGAGGCGATGAAAAGATCTGCATATCAGTCTTTCAGCGGCGTGGGCGACGTGTCAGATAGGAGGAACGATATGTTGACATTCCCGGTATGGCCGCCTCTCAGCCTCTGGGCTATGAAAGCGTATGCAACTAAAGATGATATTGCTCTAGCTAAGCCTGATAAAAGACCTGCTGCCTTTCACGCATGGTCGGGGAAAAGAGCTCAGGGGCAAGATATTATGGCCGGACCCTCGCAAACATACACCGGCTTCGGATTTGTTGACCTGCCAAATTTGAAAACGTCACTGGATAATCAAATAGCTATGGATAACGTTGCAGATTGGGATGGTGCGGGCAGAAACCAAGCGGATAAAAGGCCTGCGTTCCACTCCTGGTCCGGTAAACGTTCGAATAGAATCTCAGATATAGGGAATAAAGAAAATGAGTTTAATTCGGATTTAGGTCTTTCCCAAAACGTTGCTAGGGCACTCGGGGTTGTTAAGAAGCCTGCATTTCATTCTTGGTCTGGTAAACGGAGTAGCGATGACGTTGAAGATGTTCATGGTTATGAGATGGAGAAACGACTCGCTGCCTTCCACGCGTGGTCGGGGAAAAGAGACTCACCCAGGATGTTTGCCTTTAATTCGTTATCAGGAAAAAGAGGTGCACCCTCAGATAAACTGACGATTTTAAAACGACCCGCATTGCACGCCTTGTCGGGAAAGGGATCAGGAGCCCTTGATGAGAACGCAGTTGATTACGAGATGCCACCTGCTTTTCATTCAGGGTCCAGGAAGAGGGCTGCTGATGGTGGGGATACAATGAGTAAACGGCCAGCTTTCCAGGCCTGGTCTGGGAAAAGAAGCACACGGTCTGTGAACATGGAAAAACGGGTGGCCTTCCATTCATGGTCAGGAAAAAGAAATTCTGAAACTCTAAACAAATTGTTAGCTGAAAAACGACCAGCCTTCCATTCATGGTCGGGAAAGAGGAATTTCAAAGCAGTTGACAATTTGTTAGCTGTAAAACGACCAGCTTTTCACTCTTGGTCAGGCAAACGTGCTGCAGGTAATTTAGCTTCATTAAAACGTCCAGCCTTTCATTCATGGTCCGGGAAACGAAATGTCCGTCCTGTGGACAATGCAAGAGCTGAAAAACGACCAGCATTCCATTCGTGGTCTGGAAAACGCAGTCTACAATCTCCAGCTGATATTTTGACAGATGCAGAAAAACGACCCGCATTTCATTCGTGGTCGGGAAAACGTAGCTTGGATAATCCGGCAACTGGAAAACGACCAGCTTTCCATTCCTGGTCAGGAAAACGTGACTTCCCCTCTGCTGACAATACAATACCTGAAAAGCGACCGGCATTTCATTCGTGGTCGGGAAAAAGGTACGTAACATCTCAAGATCCCACTTCTTTGGAGAAACGCCCTGCTTTTCACTCATGGTCGGGAAAGAGAGACGGTTTTTTCAAAGTAACCCCATCGCAGGAAAAGCGCCCGGCGTTCCACGCTTGGTCTGGGAAAAGAGACCGTCAGCAAGACATCTTCACGTCAAAGCGTCCAGCTTTCCACTCGTGGTCCGGAAAAAGGTCCCATGTGTACCAGGATGCACCACCTGCTCTGAACCCTCTGTATCTCGACGATGGCGTGCTCATGAAGCGTCCGGCCTTCCACTCCTGGTCTGGTAAGCGTGATTCCATCTCTTACTACACTCCATCGTTCGGTGGGGTGGTCATGAAACGCCCAGCATTCCACTCCTGGTCGGGGAAAAGGGCCCAAATGTCTCAGGACGCATCTCTACTTTCAAATTCAGCTTCTATTGATAGTCAGCTGATAATGAAACGACCTGCCTTTCATTCATGGTCGGGTAAAAGGGCTCAACTTTTGCAGACCCCATCAGCATCGAACTTTCCAGGCCCGGACGGAAGGGTCATGAAACGTCCAGCCTTTCATTCCTGGTCAGGGAAAAGACAGCTGACTCAATATGGCAATACAAACAGTACACCCTTACAGGCAGACGGGGGCGCTAGTGTATTCAAACGCCCCGCATTTAGCGCCTGGTCAGGAAAACGCACTGTACGAGATACGACAAAAGCGGCACAAACACTTGACACTAAAATACCAGTTACTTCATCCCCAATCACTGACAGCGAACAGGAGGGAAATAAACCCCTTTCCCCCGACACCTGGCCTAGTGGAAACCCTCCTGCAGCCGTTGCGTTGGGATCGTTGAATGAACAACTGCCTGCAAGTACGAACGACGATTCTGCAAAAGGAACGACTACGCTGACAACTCACAGTTCAATAAGAGAACCCCTCGCCACTCAACGACACCCAAATGCAATCGTCGATAAATCCTCACTTTCAAACGTCAACAAACTGCAATCACAACAACTCCCAAGCGCCCTTCTGCCTCCTTCAGAGAGCAGTTCTCTTTCAAGTTAGAACTGTTCACTTTTTCAGCTAACAACTTGTAGCTTGTGAACTTCAGACCTTGAAATTGGATTTTTTTTTCTCATCAGAACTATACCAAAGTAATGAAGAACTTGTTTAACCATTCCACTAGATCCATTCCAGTAGTGATAATGAATTATTTAAAGACTCAACAATTGCTGACTGAAAGTCAAATTTTGCCCAGAGAAATTTATAAACAACACAAAGTCTAATTACCTCTCTTTGTCAAGCATTTGCATTATTGTTGTAAAAGTTATTTTGCGACAAAAAGTCTTAAATCTACTTTTTCTCAAACAATTACTTTGATTTTATTCCTGTAATGTCGGTGTTCTAATTCTCTGTTGTCATGACTCTTTTGCCTAAGACACCCCCCCCCCCCTTCCTCAACTCCAGTGTGCTTATGATGACTTTGTTATTTGCCTGTTTGTTTGTACGTTTGCTATCTGTCTAGCTTGCTTCTTTGTAAGAACACGCTCAACTTTCCTATAAAAGTGTAAACTAATGTTTACTTTATTGTGAGGGTCAAGTTTTGTCATCACTTAAGCATTTTTGTGAGAACGAACGAGCGAGACGAATGTCCAGAACCAGATCCAAGCTGTCATTACGAGATGCAACGCCAAGCTGTGGCGAATCTCCAGAACTTTTTCCATTGCTGCAGACAGAGGCCTGGTCTATAGTAGCCTGTAAGCAAAACATTAATATATAAGATTTTGCATGAAGTAAAATACATTATAGCAACCTCTCGATGGTTTATTATTATAATAGGATTCCATTTCCCAACAAATGCATCAAGAGATTTTTTAAAAAACGTTGGTCGTCTTGTTTCTGTTGCTGACTTAGTCTGCTCTGTGCAAGTGTCACGATTCGTTCGTTGTAACAAAAGTTCTCTAGTGAAGAAGAAGTTAATTTTCCAGAAAGGGTGAGCTAGCCGAAGGTAACTGAAGACTTGAAAGCAAGACTGAGACTAAGACCAATATTAGTTCAATGACTAATACAGAAAATTCTTCTCTTCCCTTATTTGAAAATGGCGTAAGTTAACAATTGGCGTATGTCTGCATTTGCTTCGATACGGCCTCTTTTTTTCTCTCTCATCCCACTTCATCACTGGTTGCACAGTGTTTTGCGTGGAAAGTAAGCTCTATGCTAATACCAACACCACAAAATTTCAGAATTTGGTCTTAAACACAGTAGGCCTACTTGTTTTCATGTCTTCAGTTCTTCAAGTTATAGGATGAGTTCCAAATCGATCAAACTGTCAGGAGATTCAAACCACATGCCTGTCCTTTTCTATCCCTAAATTCCTGTCGTGTTCTTTCCTTATCAACTTTAACTTACATCACATTGTAGTTTTACGCCCTTGGCTTGACCGAACACTGAGCATTAAGCATGCTGTAGAGTGTGGATATGGGTATACAATTTCATTATACATCTTTACACCCAAATCATGGCTGTTCGATAATTCAGTTGGTGTTATAGTGAGCTACAGTGCTGAAAACACTGCTTCAAATGCCAGTGGAACACTCCTATTATGAACATGGCTTTCTGGGAGTTGTTTTGAGACTCTTCGCCTACTAGATATGGCGATGTCGGAGATGGACATTATATTTCGAGGTCCCGTTTTTTAAGTCCCTTTTGGTCTTTATTGGGACATTGATTGCACACCAAACAGTACCATGCTGTACCATACCATAGTATGCTATGCACTATATACATCACCACACCACACCGTACCATACTCTACCATACAATACAAAAGCAAGGCACAGCACAGCACAGCACACTACATCACACCATGCCACACCACGCCAAACCACACCACACCACGCCACACCACGCCCTGCCACGCCACAACACGCCACGCCACGCCGCAACACGCAACACCACGCCACGCCACAAGAAGTGGAAATTTGCACTGGCTTTTATGATGGTTTCTATTCCCTGTTAGCGAAATAGATTGGTACCGAGTAATATAATATTTGTCATGCGTTCACCAAATATCAAGACTTTTTTTCTTCTCTAAATTGATTTTTAAACTGATGTCATATAAATTGATAAAGATTTTAAAAAGTCACAGAAACTGTTTTGGTACCCATTTCCCCAAACAAGTAAACCGTTTGTAGAGTCATTTGGTTCAAGTAAGCACAATTAATTCTTTTAATTTAGTCCGGCCATCTGGAGTTATTCGAGGTCGCCAACGTTGATACCAACAATAAAATCCGGTGCAAATTTCCGTACCCGAATTCCACCCCACTCCACCTCACCCCACCCCACCCCACCACACCACACCACACCACATTCCACACACCACACATTACCATACCATACCATACCATTACATAACATACCATTACGTACAATACCATTATAAAACAGGCTGGCACTGACAGCTCATCCCTATCTGACAGAGTGCCATTATTTTAAACTGTGACACGATTAAGTGACATTCACACTGCCAAATGAGATGTAAGATTCATTAATTGCAGGAAAAAAAATAAGCGTATCGTTTTATCTTTACCCCTTCGACATAGGATTATTAGATTTATGCAAAAGCCGAAAGCGAATACATATGGTATATAATGATATAATTCGGTTTTTTAATTGTAGGCTACATGTTTTACGCTCCAATCGACATATTTTAGATCATACGGGAGGCGCCTTGTAGAACCCTGCCTGTTACGGCCAACCTGGGTTGAAAGATATACGACGCCGCAGTAGACAGACGGAAATACTCAACAAAAATTCGGAGGATCCGTCTTTTAAAGTCTCCCTATAGGTCTTTATTTGGGACATTGAATTCACACCAGTCTGTACCGTACTGTATCATGCCAAACCGTGCTATTTATTTTACAAACAAGCCATCCACTTTCGAAATACTTTTCATTTTTGTCCTTTTACGAAGGGAGTCCAGTTGCATGATGATAGGCAGAGAACATTGAGGTCGCTTCGTGTTATGTAAAACTCCCTCAAGAGATTGATGGTACTAGCAATATCATTCTTCAATGTGTCTTGCTTTCGTCAGCTGGATTTTTATTGCAAAATGAGGGACTCAATGGTCTCGGACTCAAGCAGATTCTTCAACTGTTGGGTCTCGAAGCACGCATAAGTTATGAGCTCTGGGCAGTACACAGCCAAGTGATTTACATTAATTATTCTATCGACGACCAATTCTCCACTCTGTCGTCATTAACATTCAATTCAAAAGAACTCGATCGGCGTCTGTGGTATAGAGGTTAGCGCTTGACAGTCGTACGAAGTTCGATTCCCGTGTGGGAAAGTTTTATCGAGCATTTCGATCCTTCTTCTGGGAGGTTGTATCCAGAATCTTTAGCGCAGCATTTCTTTCGCACACAATTTCTACCTCGTCTCTAAATCACTGTGCCCCCTTAGTTCTTCTTTGATTTTTGGGAAGAAATTAAAGTCACTTGGTGCTTATTATGGGGAATATAAGACTCAGAGACGTTTAAGGATTCCCCACTGCCAGGAGTCTGGGAGATAGAGGATTGTCAGACTAGTTTCCACAGACATGCTATTATGATGGAAGACAACACCTTAATCAATCAAATCCGTCCGATGTCGACTGATTACTGGTCTCAGCCTAGTTTGAAAACCATCTTGAAATAGCCAGCATTGGCTGTTGTGCTAAAAGGAACCGGCCAATTCAAAGCCACACTTTTGGGATCGAAAAACGTTATAGTGTAACCTCACAACCAATGCATCCTGCTTGCGTCGAGCTTTCAGAAGCCGTGGTGATCCTTGGTTTGTCTATTCTGCGGATTGCCTTTTCAGTCCTGAAGTCCAGCAGAATACACCCATGTCTCATCATCTGTTATGATTCTTCTAAAACAACTACATATTATGTTCCTTTATTCGGTAACCGGTCGATAAAAGGAAAAAGAAAAAGAAAAAAACACTCCCCGCAAAAAAACAACGCGTGCACTCGTGTTCCTTTGCCCTATAAGTCAGCAGATGAAGATCCCATTTTGCAAAAAGCTTTATTTTCCTAAGATCCTATTTGAGAATTCAAGAACTGTCGTCTTTGTCATAAAACCTGTCTTCTTGAACACAAGCTTGAACCTGCAAAAATTATTATTAT